AAATACACTTTTGCTAGAACTACAGGCACAAAAATCAAAAAAGACATCAAAAATGTTGAAAATTCACTAAAAATTTATAATAACCACAAAAATCCAAACATACCAAAGTTCTATATAATTCCTAAACTACACAAAAAACCTATTTCTTTCAGAACAATCACATCTGGTATAAATTCAGTCATAAAAAATATTGATATACAATTAGCTTCAACACTACAATTTATTATAAATAAATTAACTAATAAATATAATTATAAATTTATCGACTCAAATAAAAAAATCATTAATTATTTAATGAACAATTGGACAAACATTGAAACAGTACACACATTTGACTTTGAGGACCTATATTCTAAAATAAATTTAAGAGATCTAAATAATAAAATAACCAATTTATTTAATGAATTCATTAATGACAAAACTTTCTACATTAAAATTATTCATAACAGATATAAAACATTTAAATTAGATCTTAAAACAGCAAAAACTCTACTGGAAACATTTTTAAATTTTAACTATATAGAATTTAAAAATAAAATATATATTCAATCAGAAGGCGTTCCCATGGGAACTTCTTCTAGTCCGTTATTAGCAAATCTAATATTGTTCTGGTACGAAAGAGAATACTTTCTACAAAATAATATTAATTGGCAAATATTCCGTTATGTAGATGACATAATAATATTTAATAATCCACAGTTTAAAAAATTAATACCTGAAATATATCCTAAATACTTGACTTAAGAACAATGAAAAAATTTATAGAAACAAAAAAGTTAACTTTTTAGACTTGAATATAGACCTTACAAATAGTGCTGTTAGAGTTTATAATAAAAAGAGTAATTATAATTTCAATATTATAAAATACTGTAATATGAATTCTAATATATCATTAAATTGCTGTAAAGGTATATATTATGGTCAGTTTCTAAGATTTTATAGAATAAATAATATATTAGATAATTTCATAGAAGATGTTAAAAATTTAAACATGGAATTTATTAAAAACAAATTTAGTATCAAACAAGTAAAATATTTCAACAGTATATCAATTATAAAATATTAAAAAAAAAATAAATGGAAATATCCATTTATGAAATCAACTTTCTATAATTTCTCTTAATTATAACTAATACAAATTTATAGTCTTTAACAGTTAATTAAACTTTGATTAAATAACTGATTAAAAGATTTTTTCACAAGATTTTTAAAGTGTTATAGTATATAGTTCATTTTGTTTAATCTCCAATTTCTGGGGAGGAAAATGGAAGTTAAATAAAGGTGAATTTGCACAATTAATAGCTTTATTAAACTCTTATAATTTGCCTTTTTAAAGGAATATTAAAAGATGAATAAATTTTGAATCAGTTATTTTGATATAACTAGCTGTAAAGATTATGAAATTCAACTTTCTTCCCTTAACTATTTTTCCTTTCTTCTTTAATTTTCTTGTTGTTCAAAAAAATTCTGAATAAATGGTCTAAATTTGAAATGTCCCCCCCTCCCGCCACATGTGTCAGCCAGAAATAGATATTCACAATGGAGGACGCCGCGGTCGAGGTAGGTTTACAGTTTGAATTTGTTAACACTTGTATCTGTTATATATGTTTATTTAAATATTTCACTGAAACAACTTAATATTAACACATAAAATCCGGTTTAAAAGAGATCTATGACATAATAAAGAAGGGGTGAAATGTCGTTGGACTTTTATCTGAAGATCCCCGGTCCAGCAGATCTCTTTTTCCAATTTATTTCAATTTAAAGTTTTTTGTGTATGTCTGGTCTACCATTAGGGTTTCAAAACATAATATCCAAACTTATAACAAATGTTAATTCATACTATAGATATATTACTAAATACAACTATTTATAATCATATTATAAAATAAAAAAAACCTTTAAAAATCTTAAAAAAAAAAAAAAAAGGATAAAATATAAAATTATAAAAATATATATATATATACTAACAATCTTATCTACCTTCTTTACAAAAATTTTTTTTTTTCCTTATTATTAGTTTGATTAAAAGTGCATGGTTCTGTCTTTCTCTCTTTTTTTCTAACTATTATATATATTCTCTCTTCGATTATTCTATATATAGGATTAGAGTATGTCTAAATGACGTGTAAAAGCCGATGTAATAGACGTTACGTTGTTAATTTTTATTGTTATTAATTATAAATATATAATTAACTTGTGGATGTATTAGAAGTAAAGGATTTTTTTTTTCTCTCTCTATCTACAAATTAATAACATTTTACAAATTTTATAATTTAAATTTAAATGATCATAATAGTGAAGATAATCTTAATACAAAACTGGACTATAAAATTAAATAACTATTTATTATTATAAATATATATATATATATATATATATATATTAGTTGATAAAATATTGCATGGCCAAACATCGACTTGGGAAAGCCGGGTTAATCTTTATAGTAAGAATTAAATTAATTACATTTTTTAAAATAGAACATTAGACCTCCAGGGAAAAGTTTCTTTCTTAAATATTTTTATTTACAAATTTCTCTCAAGCTTTCGGGCAAGAAAGTCCTTCTACGGGAGAAAATATTTTCTATTAGAACGCAAAAAAAAAAAAGATAAAAAAATAAAATTAAATCTTTTTTTTTTTTGGAGTTTTAATGGAAAATATTTTCTCCCGTAGAAGGGCTTTCTTGCTCGAAAGCTTGAGAAATTTATAAATAAAAATATTTAAAAAATAAAATTTTATCTGAAGGCCGAATGTTCTTATTTTAATATTGAATCAAGGGATTATTTTATCGAATCACATTTTTCTTATGTAAAATAAAATTTTGCGTAGCTTAGAAGCGAACAGAAATGGCTCTGTTGTAATTCATTTTCACAGAAGTGTGCCACAGAGTGAGTGGGTGGGAGGAATCGATATTTGAACGAGAGAGGGTCGCCACCATCGGCTCCCTCAGTTGTGGCGCAGTTGAACTCGAGGTGAGTACTTTCCTTTCATATCTCTCTGCCTTCAATATAATATTTCGGGATTTAGATATTTATTACTTAACTATTAATGTATCATATTTCAGTATCTAGAATTCCTTAAAATTTATATTTCCCATCTTTTATATATTTGTTACCATATGGAATCTATTGTGATATTTTAAAAATAATTTTATCTTTCGATATATAAGTATATTGCACATATTTATTAAAATATAAAGTATTTATTCATAGAATTTAATATATTTTTGTTTTCAAAAAATTAATCGATTTTCTTTAGGCTTTTAGCGTAAAGAAATTCTATATACAGATAGAGATAAAAAAAAAGTTAAACATTTAAACAGACGATCAATATATTTGTCTAAAGTAGTATGTGCGCTGTTTCATTGTAATGTTTACCCTTGGCACAATATTGATTTTTTGTATTAAAAATTATGATTTTTTGCTAATCTAACATAACAATTGCATGTATTTATATATTGTGTATGGTATTTAGAAATATTCAACACAGAAATATTAAAACAAATTTTAAAATGTTTTGTGAAACATGAAAATTATTATGGGGAGCCGTGTAGCAGATTGAGATAGTTGCAAGTCTAATCATTATAGTTTGGTCATAAAAAATAGGAGTCGTTGTATAAATGTCTTAATGTAAGACCTTTTAAATAACTATCTAAACATTTTTATCATCATGTACAGAATATATTTTTACCTTTTGGTGGTATTAATCCGCATCTTGGAGTTAGTTTTACGCTGTGAACATCTATGATCGATAGTAAAATTTCTCTTTTTCAAAGATAAATATTAACTTACTCTATCCATATACCCACGGCCTAATAAATCTAACTTGAAAATAAGTATTTCGAATCACAGATCAGTTCCTAGAAGGTATGAGGCATCTTATATACCAAAAAGAGGGGCACCTCTACTTTTAAAATGCATTAAGACAATGCATTTTGTATAGCCACAGTACAAAACGTAATGGTGGTTATAAAGAATGTACCAAAACGCCATTTTGTAAAAATTCAGATATATCCAAACTGTATACCATGGTTTCAGGCTTTGGCCCTCATCAGTACAGGTTGGATCATCACGTAGGATGTCATGGAACTGAAGCTATTCTTATATATATAAATCAAATGATTCTGTTTGAAATTCGTCTCAGTTTTATATGCTACGGTAAAAGGAGCCAGGTCAACTCCTTCTTTTCCCGTAAAGGAGAAAATTACCCCCGAAGAGGCCATACAAGCAAACATAATTCTGTGTAAACACATCAATTTGAATTTTTTGTCTATATTTTAGGTAGGCGCTGCACTTACAGAATAAACATTCTTATCCATCTATTCATCCGGTGTGACTGGGGTTAAGTGTATCGATTAGTAAATAAAATCAATAATGTGTTTGATATCTATGTGTTTAGAAAAGAGAAATTCGGAGGAGCTATTTGCAAGTTTTTAATTTGGCTTAAGATTCCGAGGCAAGCTGGTGTTTGCTAAGAAATGCAAACACCAGCTTGCCTCGGAATTTTGGGCTGACAATAACGTCGTGGAGAACTTTGAAAAGCAGGAAGGTGAGTAATTTTTTGAATATAATTAATAATTCTATAATATATATATAATGTAGTGTAGATAAATTGATCTATTTCTCTCCAAATGGAAGATATAATTTCAAAATGAAGAGAGAGATGGAGATATTTATATACTAAAACTTATCTATATACTTAACATGTATGTTAATGTAGATATCCAGGAACATCTTGACTTTAGTTCAAGATTCCGAGACAGGCTGGGGTTTGTAAATTTTGGCAAACACCAACTTGGTTCGGAATTTTGGGCTAACAATATCGTCGTAGAAGAATCAGCGAAGAAAGAGGGTAAGTAGTACTTTTTCCTACTCTATAGGTTACACTCATAAAACTATCCCTTTGTATATAGTATTTGTAATAGAAATAAAATGTTTATTTTTAGTTGCTAAATGTTTAACCCTTTTATTTGTTGGTTTTAGATGTATTATGCCCTCTTTTGGCTCAAGATCCCGGGGTGGGCTGATGTTTTTGAAATAACACAAACATCAGCTTACACCGGGGTCTTGGGTCAAAATAAACTTCATTAAAGCTGTAGAAGGTGAGTATAACTTTTTCTATTTCCTATTTTGTGTCTTTTTATACAAGGTTGATCTAGTATCAACTCCTATTGATTAATTATCATTATGAAGTAATATAAAATGCGTTTGGGTTATATAGCTTATGTTGGAAGAGGAATATACTTTGGTGGTAGCTGTATACTTCGATTGAAGGCTGCAGGGTTTCTATTGCTGCATTGGTTTAGTTTAAAGGGAAAGATGGTCCCCTATTGCCCATGGATACCATCTTCCTGCTAAAATATTTACAAGTATATGTATAAATATAAAATAAGAAGGGGTTTATTTAAAGTTTAAGTGATTAAAGGCTTATTTTCATCTTGATGTATTTAACATGCATGCTTATCAAAATATTCGGAAACTTTCCCCTCTGGTTTAAGATTCCGGGGTAAGCTGGTGTTTATAAACTAATACAAACACCAGCTTACCCCGGAGTTTTGGACCAACAAAAACTTCAAAGTCCTACAAAGAGAAGGTGAGTGGTTAGGAGTTAAACTTATTAAGACGCATGTTAATTAATTATGATGAGCAGTACTTCAATTATGTAATGGACGTTGCATTATTGTGTACGCATTGTGCATGCTCTATTTATATTTCTTTATTCCATCTTTCGTTTCACACACAAGGTATATTCAAGTGAAACATATCAAGGTAGGTAGTATATATATAACACACATAATTGAATGTACCAAAAGTGGCACCTCTTTTTAAAAATCCTTTAAAACAATGCATTTGCTTATCACAGCAGTAAAAAATGTAAAGGTGGTGATAAAGAAAAAGCCACAATACCAATTTTTGAAAATTTAGACAAAGGGCTAATCTGTATATCATGGCCTTAAAAATTAAGAAGGTAAGTAACTTTTAAATAAAAATTAATATTTTTAATTAGAGTAATATATAAATTTATCTAAAAACAATTGAAAAAATATACTAAAACTTATCTATATTCCTAACATGTATGTTAATATAGATATTCAGGAACTTCTTGACTTTAGTTCAAGATTCCGAGACAGGCTGGGGTTTGTAAATTTTGGCAAACACCAACTTGGTTCGGAATTTTGGGCTAACAATATCATCGTAAAAGAATCAAAGAAGAAAGAGGGTAAGTAGTACTTTCCTACACTGTATATAGTATTTGTAATAAAATAAAATGTTCTGTTTCTATTTGCTAAATGTTTAACCATCTCATCTGCTGGTTTTAGAAGCATTATGCGCTTTTGGCTCAAGATCCCGGGGTGGGCTGATGTTTTTGAATTAACACAAACATCAGCTTACCCCGGGGTTTTGGGTTAAAATAAACATCATTGAAGCTATAAAAGGTGAGTAAACATTTCTAATTATTATTCTATATGTTTATATATAAGAGAGAGGGTGATGAAAAAAGAGGTTCCAATGTGAAATTACATTTTGGGCCTGGTTATTAACAACTCCCGAAAAATATCAATGTCTCTAGACTGCCTTTATGAGAACAGTTGGAGTCTTGGGTAGAGATTCACACAGCAAAAGGCGGTCTTCCTCTTCCCTTTGATAAAGTCCAGCCTGCCTAAAGAGCTCCTTAAGATATGGCATAGGGCACTGTGTCTGGATACGATGTGCGTCACCTGGACTTGCCTCAATTAGAATTGCTATTGATGTTCCTAAGAATGGAACAGAAGGATGCGGAGATTCCCGCCTATGTGAAAACCCGTTTAAGCAAACCCTTTTGACCTTATGAGGGTAAGTCCTCAGTAATACAATTACATGAAGCCGAGGTGAAAGAAGGGACTGAGCCTGGCAATGAAAAATGCATCCTGTGCAAAAAAAAAAATCTGTAAACTAAAGCATTAGCAAAGATCTGTCTATCCATTGGTGATGAACAGATATAGCATGTTAGAAATATAAATTCACCAAAAGAAGTTTGGGCTGAATTTAAAAAAAAATTGTATTCACCTAAGTATAGCGAAAAAAAAAATCGAATTTTGCAACTACGACGAAAACTCTACTCACAGAATTACAAGCAGCATTCAAGAATGGACTCATTATTTAGCAAGCATCAATTTTGTTGTAAGTGAACTCACAAATACAGGTGACAGATACAAAATTGAAGTTGGAAATTTAGCCATGAGCATCCTTTGTGGAATTCCAGAAGATTGAGAAAATGTAGTCTACACTTTGTGTAATTTTCTAAAGGAAGAATTTACTTGTGCCACAGTGAAACGGGCGCTTTTAGAAGAAGCTGAACGACGCTAAGTTTCACCAAACGGATAAAGGGTGCCTTATTAGCAGAAGTGTATCAGAAAGACAAAGAAAACATAAAATAAATATCAAAAGTGAAAGAAAAACAAAATATGTTTTGAATCCGGTAAAATGGGACATTTGACCAAGGACTGCTACAGGTTGAAAGAAACCAATCATGAATCCCGTGGAAAAGCACAAAAGGAGATGGCAAAGGAGCAATCTCAGACAAAGACCAAAGGAATGTCTGTGACGTTTGGTACTTCCATCGCTCATCCAGAAGACACTTTTCTGACCTCAGTGAAGAAGTTCTTGGATAGGTAACCACAATTGATAGGACTGTAATTCATTCGACGGGAAAAGGAACTGCCAACGCAGCACTGAAGGGAAATTTGGGTCAATTGAGTAAATGGCGGTAGCCAATACCTTGTTGGTACCAGTGATCAAGACTGGAGTTATTTCAGTTCTACAAGCGATGGAGAATGATTGGAAGGTGATCTTAGACAAGCGCGGATGTCATATTTGTGATGATGGTGACAACCTACTAATTGAAGCGGAGAGAAGAGGTAGGCTTTATGTTGTTACCACTATACCTCATGCTGATTCTTTAATTAATGTACTGATTCATTCATAGTCTAGAACTATGGCATCAAACACTGATATACAATAACTGGCAAATAATTCTTAATTTGATCAAGAACTAAGCAGTTAGGGGTTTAAGGTGTAATGCCGAAACCATCGAGAAATGTAATGATTGCTTGATCGGCAAATCAACAAAACGGCCATTGCAGTTACAATGTTTGAGAAGGAGAAAGCACTATTGGCACTAGTTCATTGTGATCTAAGGGGACCTTTCATATTCTAACGTTGGGAAGGTGCACGTTATTTCCTGTGCATTGTAGATGATGCCACCAGATACGTTCGAGTTTATTTTCTTAAGAATAAGAGTGATGTATTGAAAAAATGTAAGGAATAGAAGATTGAAGTAAAGAACCAAGCAAATCAATGAAGAATCGATGAATAAAATTTGGACAGATAATGGGCTAGGATTTTATTTACTGCCTTGGGATGCTTACACAAAAGCTCATGGCCTAATTCAAAAACGCACAATGGTTTATACCCCGCAACAAAATGACATTGAAGAGGGAATGAATAGGACTTTTCTGCATCTAGTTAGAAGCACAATGAATAGCTGTAATTTTCCAAATGATCTGTTGGCTGAATTGATCTAACATCGCTGCATATTTGAGGAACAGGGTTGTAAACAAGCACAACAAGGAGAAGACTCCATTTGAATTGCGGTTTGGATGGAAGCCCAGTTTACAATATCTGAGAGCGTGTGGATGCGAAGTGTTTGTTCACATACCACAAGGGAGAGAATAAGATAAAAAACTTCGATCAAGAGCATTTAGGGAAATTCTAATTAGTTATGCCCCTCGTGGACATTGATCGAGAATTTGGATCCCTGAAAAAAACTAGGTGATAGAATCTAGAGACTGTGTATTTAAAGAACCTGTTCTCAACAGGCTGACAACTAGAGAGGTTGTTTCGTTACCCAATGTAAAGTTTTCCCTTGATGATAACTCATGCCATGAGGGAGATTTCATGAATAGTTTGAAACAGGAGACAGTGGAGCTACTGAAGATGATGAGGACCCAGAATCAGAAGCGGAACCAAGTAAACAGCATGGTGGAAAAGAAGTTCCTACAGCACGGAGCCACCCAATGACACTGTGTCATCATAAAAAGGAAAGTGATGAAGCTGTCATGAGCTTTAAAACGGAAATAACCAATTTTGATGAAATAACAGATTCGAAGACGACTGAGAACTACCCCTTTCTCCCCAGGAAGCCTTAGAAAGTCCAGAAGATACAGATGGCTTGCATCAATAGAAGAAGAAATAGAATCTTTGAGAAGGCCCAACGTGTTGGAACTTGGATAGCTGCTAAAGGATGCCACTCCCATTCCATGTAGATAGGTTCTACACAAGAAAACTAATGCCTCAATATAAATCACTAGATACAAGGCGCGTTTAGTTTCAAAGGGTTTTGGTCAGCGATATGACTTGATTTTAATCAAATTTATTCTTCAGTCTCAAGTTTTGAAAACATAAGACTTTTGACAGCAATTATAATTGAGAAAGGCTGGCATTTAGACAAATTTGAAGTGAAAAATGCTTATTTGCATGGAAACCTTGATAAAATTATTTATATGGAGCAAATGGAGTAGTAAAAAAAACCCTATATTGTAGACTTAAAAAATCAATTTATGGACTCAGAGTGGAAGATGTTGGAATGAGTTTCTAAATGACAAACCTCAGAAAAAAATAAATCAAGAGAAATCCAATTGATCCAAGCGTTTATGAATTTGAACGTAAAGAAGGAAAAGTATTTCTATCAGTTTATGTGTGTAGACGCTATTTTCACTATCTTAGAAAATAGTCGATAAGAGAAAAGTACAAGGCACCTCTAGAGGAAATGTTTGACTTGAAATATCTTGGACCGATTTCATTTCTTCTTGGCCTAAAATTTTCTTAAAATCAAGATGAAAGCCTTACACCTACCCAGGGAACCTACATTGATAATCTTGAACGCTTCAGACAACAAGAAGCGAGAAATATATCAACACAGAGGGAGGTAAATGTAGATCTCAATGAGACTAATGATGGACTTGGAGAAAACCTACCCTATCGAGAGCTGATGGAGGGCAATCATTTTTGGCACAAAGAACAAGACCAGATATAGCATATGCTGTTGGACCACTGGCTCAGTATGCTAGCAGGAGCTCGCATAATATGTAAGAGTTTAAAACAGACTGTTACAGCACTCAGTATGATGGAAGCAGAGTATGTAACTCTTTCAAAGACAGTGAGAGAAATCACATGGGTGAGTGACCTGAGAAAACCATTAAAATTTTGACATTTGATCACAGACCCAACTCTCATTTGGTGTGATAGCCAAGCTGCAATCACACACGCCAAGAACTATGTGGACAGATCAAGTACCATTTCATTCGTGAGAAAATCCAGGACGGTACTGTATTAGTGCAACATATCCCCACTGGGAGGAACACTGCTGAACTGCTCCCTAAACTCTTAACAAGAGTCCTTCATTCTACACCTCGGCAAGAAATAATAACTTGTCGAATCCAACCAGCTCAAGGCCAATGAGATAGACCCGAGGAGGGAGATGTTGGACTAGCGGCCGATCAACATGTGACCTACGACCGTCCA